AAATATCTAAACATCCCACACACGAATATATGATACAAACCGATTACTTGGGACAGACACTAGTGTTTAATTTTGGTGTATGGGGGTAGTGCTTGCCTTGCCCTGGGAGATGATGCTACGCCTCTGTCTAAGTACCATCGACTGAACCATAAACAATATATTATTACAGTTTAATTTTGGTGTATGGGGGTAGTGCTTGCCTTGCCCTGGGAGATGATGCTACGCCTCTGTCTAAGTACCATCGACTGAACCATAAACAATATATTATTACGTTCATTACCTCCCCCCCCCCCCCCCCCCCTTTTTTTTTTTTTTTTCAGAACCCAAAATCACTTTTCAGTGCATCGGTAATGTAACGTTGAATGGAGGAGGGCTTCAAATCAATCGTTGCTTCGATTTCAGTAGAGATTTTTATTTTCATGGCATTAAAAAAAAATATAAAAAATTCAATACTTTATTTTAAAATTGTCACATTATATTACTAAATTGAAAAAAAAAATCACAAAAGTCATTAGCTATAGTAAGGTGACGCATACATTTTAAGGTCCAGATTTAGACTTTCCCAACGTACTGGTTAGGAATAGCCGGTAGGATGGTAAGATAGCAAAAGAGATGGAAGGACGGAAGTAATGGACAGGAGGATGGAAGTGTGGACAGCAGGAAAGATGGAAGGGTGGACAGCAGGAAAGATGGATAGATGGACACCAGGATGGAAGGTGTGGACAGCAGGATGGAAGGTGTGGACAGCAGGGATGATGGGTTGAGCAAAGAAGGTTGGCGATGACAGCGAAATCGATGGATTGACAGCAGGATGGATGAGTGGATAGCAATAAGGAAGGACACCAGGATGGATGGATCAACAGAACCAAAGACGGTGGACAGAAGCCAGGATGGATGGATAGAAACAAGGATGGTGGACAGCAGAAAGGATGGAGATGACACGAGGGTGGATGGACAGACAGTCAGAAGGATAGGGCAAAAGCAGGATGTGGACACGGATACCAAGAAGGGTGATGGTAGTCAGGAGCGTTGGTTGGCTGGAAGGAAGGATGGGATGTCAGCAGGGAGGATGGGATGTAAGCAGGAAGAATTGGATGTAAGCAGGAAGGATGGAATGTCAGCAGGAATGATGGGATGACAGCAATAGGTTTGGGTTGTCTACATTAAGAATAGGTGTACAGCAGGTAGGATGAGGTTACAGCAGGGGGAATCTGCATGGAGAGCGCAAAGGCTGTTATCATCGAAGGAAGGTATGAGGACGTCAGCAGAAAGGCGGATATGTCAGCAGGAAGAATGGGACGACAGAAGAAAAAATTGGTATGACAGCAGGAAGAATGGGGCGACAGAAGGAAGAATGGATATGACAGCAGGAAGAATGGGACGACAGAAGGAAGAATGGGTATGACAGCAGGAAGAATGGGACGACAGAAGGAAGAATGGGTATGACAGCAGAAAGAATGGGACGACAGAAGGAAGAATGGGTATGACAGCAGGAAGAATGGGACGACAGAAGGAAGAATGGGTATGACAGCAGGAAGGATGGGGTGACATAAGGAATGATGGGTGGACAGCAGGAAGGATGCGGATGACAACAGGCAGAGGGGGGAAGCAGGGATGGTGGTGGACAGCAGTATTGATGGATTTGCAGCATAAATGATGGGTGGAAAGCAGGAATGGTGTGTACATAGCGACATTATAGTTTGTAATGGATAAAGTGCTTGGTGACGACGTGTCATGTGACTTGCTTTAAGTAATATGTGGAATTTGTTGGGCACCATATTTGAAAAGATTAAAATCTTCATCTTCTGCAAAAGTGGCCCTCAACTTATTCAGTATGACGCACGTAAATTTTAGCAACGTTATATTGGGGCCACAGACCTGATTTATATATATTTATTTTTAAAAAATCAATCTTTTTAAATGTCCCACCTATGTGGTCTGAGGGCTAGTGGTCTGGTGTGTATGCATTGACCATCACGTTTTATTACTACTGTAAATCAATATTGTAAATCAGCATCAATGATGTTCCCTTGGGTTATCCAGCGGCGTGGAGAGAGGCGATTTGCTGTAGGGAACCAGCTTATAATCGAAGAATAATCCCAAGCCTTGTGAATTTCCTCCGACGCCCACACCATGTGACGGACGGATGCCAGCAAAAAATTTTTTTTAAAAAAATCAATATTGTTTAATATTCTATATTATGGTCTCTGTGTAAAGTTTGTGTAGTCCTTGATTGAGACACATAATGAACTCCCATATGCAGTGGAGTACCTGGGGTTAGTACTTAGTACCTACAGGGATGGTAACATTTATGGTCCCCACTTTCCATGAAGAAGTTCTTTAAAGTGCCTTAAACGAAGCCACCTAATGCATTCAAATAGAGTCACCCATGACCGTCCCACCACGCGCACGCCACTGTAATGGCGAATGGTCATTAAAAATTCAGTTTGAATTAATAGCAGCCCCGGGTATTTTGGGGAGACACTGTGATAGAAATATGGGAGGAGGGTGTATGGGGAGACATAAGTGATAGCAGTAGTGGGGGATGTTGGGGAGAAAGATGTGATAGCAACAGAGGGGGATGTTGGGGAGACAGATGTGATAGCAACAGTTGGGGATGTTGGGGAGAAAGATGTGATAGCAGCAGTGGGGGATGTTGGGGAGAAAGATGTGATAGCAACAGTGGGGGATGTTGGGGAGACAGATATGATAGCAACAGTGGGGGCTGTTGGGGAGAAAGATGTGATAGCAACAGTGGGGGATGTGGGGGAGACAGATTAGCAGCAGTGGGGGATGGTGGGGAGAAAGATGTGGTAGCAACAGTGGGGGATGTTGGGGAGAAAAATGTGATAGCAACAGTAGGAGATGTTGGGGAGAAAGATGTGATAGCAACAGTGGGGGATGTTGGGGAGAAAGATGTGATAGCAACAGTGGGGGATGTTGGGGAGAAAGATGTGATAGCAACAGTGGGTGATGTTGGGGAGAAAGATGTGGTAGCAACAGTGGGGGATGTTGGGGAGAAAAATGTGATAGCAACAGTAGGAGATGTTGGGGAGAAAGATGTGATAGCAACAGTAGGAGATGTTGGGGAGAAAGATGTGATAGCAACAGTGGGGGATGTTGGAGAGACAGATGTGATAACAACAGTGGGGGATGTTGGGGAGACAGATGTGATAGCAACAGTGGGGAATGTTGGAGAGACAGATGTGATAGCAACAGTAGGGGATGTTGAGGAGATAGATGTGATAGCGACACTGGGGGTTGTTGGAGAGACAGATGTGATAGCAACAGTGGGGGATGTTGGGGAGACAGATGTGATAGTAACAGTGGGGGATGTTGGGGAGAAAGATGTGATAGCAACAGAGGGGGATGTTGGGAGACAGATTTGATAGCAACAGTTGGGGATGTTGGGGAGAAAGATGTGATAGCAGCAGTGGAGGATGTTGGGGAGAAAGATGTGATAGCAACAGTGGGGGTTGTTTGGGAGAAAGATGTGATAGCAACAGTGGGGGATGTTGGGGAGAATGATGTGATAGTAACAGTGGGGGATGCTGGGGAGATAGATGTGATAGCGACACTGGGGGTTGTTGGAGAGACAGATGTGATAGCAACAGTGGGGGATGTTGGGGACATAGATGTGATAGCGACAGTGGGGGATGTCGGGGAGACAGATGTGATAGAAACACTGGGGAATGTTGGGGAGACAGATGTTTTAATTAACTTCGTCTCACAATGTGCCTAGAGCGACATCAGTTTATTGCTGTGATCATTTGTTTAATGTTGCTTTTTGGTATTGATAATACACCACACGCGATTGTCTAGGTTTTCCCTGCACCGGGATTTGTTTTTTTTTTCCCCACTTAGTATCTCGACTGTAGTCTATGACTTGATTGAATGAGTAAAGAAAGAGGATTGTGATGTGTTGATTATATTACTACCGTTCGGACTTTTTCATTCGGAATTTTTAGTGTTCGCGTTACTTCATATAAGAACTGAGACTGTTTTCTCGAGATTTTAAAAAAATGTTCGTGGATATCTCATTGCGTTTTGGGTTGAGAGTTTTGTTTTTTTTAACCCGAAGAGAGTTTTAGAGATTTAGAAGCAACTCTGTCAAATACTTCAGGTGTATTTTAAGCTGTCGGTTAGTTGTGATTTAGAAGCAACTCTGTCAAATACTTCAGGTGTATTTTAAGCTGTCGGTTAGTTGTGATTTAGAAGCAACTATGTCAAATACTTCAGGTGTATATTAAGCTGTCGGTTAGTTGTGATTTAGAAGCAACTCTGTCAAATACTTCAGGTGTATATATTAAGCTGTCGGTTAGTTGTGATTTAGAAGCAACTCTGTCAAATACTTCAGGTGTATTTTAAGCTGTCGGTTAGTTGTGATTTAGAAACAACTCTGTCAAATACTTCAGGTGTATATATTAAGCTGTCGGTTAGTTGTGATTTAGAAACAACTGTGTCAAATACTTCAGGTGTATATATTAAGCTGTCGGTTAGTTGTGATTTAGAAACAACTCTGTCAAATACTTCAGGTGTATTTTAAGCTGTCGGTTAGTTGTGATTTAGAAGCAACTCTGTCAAATACTTGAGGTGTATTTTAAGCTGTCGGTTAGTTGTGATTTAGAAGCAACTGTGTCAAATACTTCAGGTGTATTTTAAGCTGTCGGTTAGTTGTGATTTAGAAGCAACTGTGTCAAATACTTCAGGTGTATTTTAAGCTGTCGGTTAGTTGTGATTTAGAAGCAACTCTGTCAAATACTTCAGGTGTATTTTAAGCTGTCGGTTAGTTGTGATTTAGAAGCAACTCTGTCAAATACTTTAGGTGTATTTTAAGCTGTCGGTTAGTTGTGATTTAGAAGCAACTCTGTCAAATACTTCAGGTGTATTTTAAGCTGTCGGTTAGTTTTGACTTTCTTATGGTTGAAAATAAATTATTGGTAATACATTTAATTTTCTTAATAGTTGATTTTAAAAATGTGGAGTAATTTTTTTTTTTTAAATTAATTTTTGTTGTTGTTAAAATGCTGCGTCGGCCCCATTAAAGAATTATGTTTATTTTTATGATTTCTCTCTACTTATCTAATGCCATTCAAACAATAAATCCAAGCATGTTAAAATTTTTTTATAAGAATTAATTTATTAAAAGAGTGGCTCCTCACTGAATTACCTGCGCCGATCCTGGTTCCTTACGGTTTCATAAGGAACTTAGCCTTCGAAGCAAAATTGAAAGTGAGTGATCCTAATTTATTATTGTCTAGACTGGACTGGTTTATATTTTTTGTGTTGCCCTCTGTTCGGCAGTCATCAAACGCGTTTTGTCAGGTGATCTGGAAAACTAGTTCGCACGTCATGTGATCTGTCGAGGCTGTCAAAACAGCTAATGTCATGCTTGCCCCTGGAGGTACCCGTGATCGAATTGACCCTTGTGTTGAAGAACATCTTGATTACCAGAGTAGACGCCACACGTCTGCCAGGTGACGCGGTGTTCTCAAACCTTCCACCGTCCTGAGCGTTACGATGGAGATGGACATTTTATTTCAAATTGGGGGATACAAATGACAAATGGAGCATTGTTGACATTTCAAAAAAGAAATAAAAGTATCGAATTGTTGTAGCAACTGTCGAATAGAAAATCTAAAATAGTCGCGTCCTGTCAGAGTTAGTTGAGTTGAACACGAACAAAGATAAAATGTTCTGCAGATCACGTAGAAACGCGTTGCTGGTTCTCTGCGCCCTCAGCGTGGCGTTCTTCGTGTTAGAGGAGTTTTTACAGGAGTTTCACGTCATTATCATCAAACACACACACAATTTTCAAGAAAATGATCCCGAAATGTCGGCTGGTAGCAGCGTGTTGACGTCGGAAATCTTTAATGTCGAAGGCGTCCCACGGAAACCGCAAGGACGGGTGGGCGGAGGGAAAGATTTATTTGCAGACGTGGAACGGTTTATAAACCGAGCTGCCGAACTGGGGGGATCCCTGAGATCTGAGAACGTGACGCGTAAGGATTGGTCGGGGGTCAATGGCAAATTGACCGACGCCAACACTGACTCCGGTGGTCATAAGGATAACCGGAACATTTCTGAAGTCTCGGAGACACGAGATAGGAGACTCGAAGAGAAGGAGGAGGCGGACGCCGTTATAGAATCGGTGAAGGCCAACGTCACTGTGGCAGACGCGAGCTACGATGATCCGTATGATGACGACATAGACCGGCTGATGAGCTCACCATTTATATTTAACGAGCGATACGAAAAGAAAAGGTAGGACATTATTTTTGAAACAAGTCGGGGAAACGCAACCATGAAGCGCTTGTAAATTACGGGAAGATTGGTGCATTTGGTGCGCACGTGATCAAGCGCACGACGGGCGAAGCAGCGAATGAGAGCGCAGCACGGTGCGCAACGAGAGTGGGGAGGACTAAAAAAAATCCATTCCTGATAAATTATTATATATGGTTGACAAGACTTCTTTTCATTTGGATTTACGTTTTCAGTAACGTTCGTAAGGCCTGTCTTGCCGAGATCTGAAATAATTACCCACACCAGGTTAGCAAGTTCACTAGAAAAACATGTATAAATTCTTAACAAAAATTTTGGACGAATAAACGTATAACAATTTTTTTTTTTTTAGTAACACATTTTTAGTAAATAAATTTATATAAACCCATGCAGCTAAAAGCAAACATGAACTTGATCTTTATCAAGAACGGTAGCCAGGGGAGTAGCGAGGGGGCCAGGGGGTGACAGATGTCCCCGGGCGCCAGCTAGTTAGAGTCGCCAAAATGTGGTTTGATATTATTTTATTGATGAAAATAATGGGCTTGAGAGTTGAAAAAAAGAAAAAGGGGCGCTTTAAAATGGATCTTGTCCCCGGGCGCAAATCTTGTCCCCGGGCGCCAAACACCCTCGCTACGCCTCTGACGGTAGCTCTTCGTTGTATGACGCTAAATCCGTTTTACGGCCTTACTGTATATTTTGCCATTCTTATCAGTGTTTAATTTCTACTCTCTACGGTTATACACGTAAAGGGCAAGAGGGGGAATAAATAAGAAAAAAGAAGACTTCCAATTTTGTTTCGCTTCTTAATGCTTCAAAGACAAATTCTTAATTTTACGAACATTCTATAGATGTTATGGACATAAAAAAAAAAAAAAAGACAGTCAGATTGTTTTGGTCAAATCTTGACGGATATTAGCAACACCAGTCAAGACCATGGTATGGAATTATATTGACTGGTCACTAATGCATAAATATGGATTTTTATTTTAGTCACATCTAAGTTATCTGATAATGTCAACAACAAAAAAAGAAAACAATAAAAGGAGAATTAAAAAAACAACAAAAAAAAAACAACAACAGAAGATGAGAGTAAATTCTATTTGTAAAAATTCTGAAGTGGACTTCAATGTTAGGTCATGAGTTGAACCAACCTCATAATTTTTCGTGGTCATTTGTATTCGTCTTGAATCTGTTACAGACTCTCCGCCACGCTTGTCCAGAGGTCAGTCAAAAAGGTGTCTGGGTATATGCCCTACGAGAGTAACTGGGTCAGAAAAAGGTACGTAAATTTAAGGATGAGAAATGACGCTTCACATTGTGACAGACATTCTTTCCCCAAACATTTCTGAACTCTGCTAACCCACGAAGTCATTGCTTCCCCTACATGAGCAACAATGCCTTTTTTACGTTCTGTATATTAGCTTCACTTTTGCTAGTGTGTTTTGCTGTCTGGCAAAATTTTCAGATGGCTAATTGACCCACTTCCCATTCACCTGTCGATCTGAAACTTGGGTATTGACTTGTTGCCGATGACAAAACCTTGGATCAAATTTTCAAATCTGTGGCGCAAACGCGGGGCGGACACTGGAATATTAATATAAAATAATAATTTAAACTGCATATAAAGGATTTATACGAAAAACATTGAAAACAAATTATATGTCCCTTTCTCATCCATTTTCCTCTCGCCCCATGACAGGCCTCATGACAAGCCTCATGACAAGCCTCATGACAAGCCCCATGACAAGCCTCATGACAAGTCTTATGACAAGCCCAATGACAAGCCTCATGACAAGCCCCATGAAGAGCCTCATGACAAGCCTCATAACAAGCCTCATGACAAGCTCCATGACAAGCCTATTGACAGGTCTCATGACAAGCTCCATGACAAGCCTCATGACAAGCCAGATGACAAGCCCCATGACAAGCCCCATGACAAGCCTCATGACAAGCTCCATGACAAGCCCCAGGACAAGCCCCATGACAAGCCCCATAACAAGCCGCATGACAAGCCCCATGACAAGCTCCATGACAAGCTCCATGACAAGCCTCTTGACAGGTCTCATGACAAGCCCCATGACAGGCCCCATGACAAGCCCCATGACAAGCCCCTTTACAAGCCCCATGACAAGCTCCATGACAAGCCTCATGACAAGCCAGATGACAAGCCCCATGACAAGCCCCATGATAAGCCTCATGACAAGCCTCATGACAAGCCCTATGACAAGCCTCATGAAAAGCCTCATGACAAGCCTCGTGACAAGCCCCATGACAAGCCTCATGACAAGCTCCATGACAAGCCTCTTGACAGGTCTCATGACAAGCCCCATGACAAGCCTCATGACAAGCCTCATGACAAGCCTCATGACAAGCCTCATGACAAGTTCCATGACAATCCCCATGACAGGCCTCATGACAAGCCCCATGACAAGCCCCATGACAAGCCCCATGACAAGCCCCATGACAAGCCTCATGACAAGCTCCATGACAAGCCTCATGACAGGTCTCATGACAAGCCCCATGACAAGCCTCATGACAAGACCCATGACAAGCCTCATGACAAGCGTCATCGCGCCAAGTTAGATAACGCGTTTCCTTTAAAGTTTATTTGCCAAGTCTTAGAACCATTTGATGTTAGATTTTAGAATCTTGTGGTTTCGAGAGTATGTTTGTTTCTCGGTTCATTTCGATATTTTACTACGAGGCCTGTGTTTTCATCAACGTGTGATAAAAATCATCAACAATCATAGACTTTCGCATGTTGTTGTACAATTTATATTTTTACGTAACTTTAAAAAAAAATCTGTTTCTTGAATCTGTTAACAAGGAAAAAACAAAGATGATAATATTAACAACTGTGCTATAACTAGCGTTATAAAATAAAAAAAGTCTTTCATATACTCGTGAGTATGAAAATGTGTCAAGGAGTGAAAAAAGGGAGTTGGTGTTTGAATTACTGTCCTTGAACACACAAGATACCGCGTGTGTATCGACTTTTGTCATCAGTCTCCCCCCTCCCCCCTCCCCCAGGAAATGGTTTTATACTCGCACCCCAGCTTCAGAGGTGATTGTTGAAGTTGCACTTCGAGGGCCAGCGAGACAGTGCGTGTCCCATAACAGTTGCTTGCTGTGTGTCGGTTCGGGTGAAGTTAACGGCTGCTCATTGGCTACCGTTAATGATGGCGGGGGTATCAGGTACACGATGACACACATGCGTTGGATATGGGGGGGGGGGGGATATGAAATACACGTTTAGAGTGTTGGAGGGTCAATACGATGGCTTGATTCTCAAGCGGTCAGTCGCGATACCCTGATGATAATGAGATGGTTAGAGCCTAGGTAATGGGATAGGGTAGGAGATAAGGTAGGGTTTGTGGTATGGGATTGGTAGGGGATGTGAAATGGGATATTTTAGTGCAGTAGTTCTCAACCTTCCTAATGTCGCGACCCCGTAATACATTTCCTCATGTTGTGGCGACCCCCAGCCACACAATTATTTTCGTTGCTACTTCATAACTGTAGAGCATATGTGTTTTGGATGGTCTTAGGCGACCCCCGAGAAAGGGTCGTGCGACCCCCAAAGAGGTCGCGACCCACAGGTTGAGAACCGCTGTTTTAGAGTATAAGGTAGGGGATAAGGTAGGGGATACGGTCGGTGATATTATATGAGATAAGAAAGGGGATAAGGTAGGGGATACGGTCGGTGATATTATATGAGATAAGAAAGGGGATAGGGTAGGGGATTTGGTTAGGAATATGGCAGGGGATTTTGTAGGGAATATGGTAGGGGATATGATAAGGAAATAGGCAACTCAGGTTGAAAATTACTTTAGCCATCTTCGCGTGCGAAGGCTGTTTGGGTAAAGGATAGGGTACAAAATAAGTTAGGGTATAGGATTGGGTCTAGGATAGGAGATTTGGTAGGGGGCAGGTTAGGGCAGCGGTTCTCACCCAGTGCGCCACAGAGCCCTTAGGTGCACTTCTCAGCAGCTACGCGGTGGCCAAAGGAAACTTCTCCTAAACACCATTAACTTATAAGTTGTACGACACGGAGGGTACGCCCCTGGAAAGAGCTCTCCCATACAGAAACTGATTCTAACAAGGGCTCCGAGTGTCAAAACGTTTGGAAACAACTCGGATAAGGGATATGGTAAGGGATATGGAAGGCGTATGGTAAGGGATGTGTCAAGGGATATGGTAAGGGATATGGCAAGGGATATGGTAAAGGAAATAGTAAGGGGTATGTAAAGGGGTATAGTAAGGAATATGGTAAGGGGTATGGCGGGTATGGTAAGGGACATGTCAAGAGATATGTCAAGGGATATAGTAAGGGATATAGAATATGGGATATGATAAAGGATATGGTAAGGGATATGGTAAGGAATTTAGTAAGGGAAATGGTAAGGGTTATGTCAAGGGATATGGTAAGGGAAGTGTTAAGGGGTATTTTAAGGGTTACGGTAAGGGGTATGATAAGAGATATGGTAAGGGATATGGTAAGACGGTAGGGGTATGGTAAGGGATATGGTAAGGGATATCGTATGGGATATGGTAAGGGATATGGTGAGGGGTAAGGTAAGTTATATGGTTAGGGATAAGGTAAGGGGTATGGTAAGGGTTAAGGATAGGGTATGGGATATCAAAGTGGAGAACGAGATGATACAATACGTTGGGCTTAAGAAGGATAAGTTTGAGCCTGAATTTTCTGGGTAGACTGCCTGCTAGGGTAAGAGGAGGAGTTTGGGGGAGGGGAATAGGTGATAGGAGGAGTTTGGGGGAGGGGATAGGTGGGTAGGAGGAGTTTGGGGGAGGGGAATAGGGGGGTAGGAGGAGTTTGGGGAGGGGAAGAGGCGGGGAGGAGGGGTGGGGGGGAGGCGGGTAGGAGGAGTTTGGGGGAGGGGAATAGGTGGGTAGGAGGAGTTTGGGGGGAGGGGAATAGGTGGGTAGTTTGGGCGGGGGGAATAGGTGGGTAGGAGGAGTTTTGGGGAGGGGAATAGGTGGGTAGGAGGAGTTTGGGGGGGAGGGGAATAGGTGGGTAAGAGGAGGAGTTTGGGGGAGGGGAATAGGTGGGTAGGAGGAGTTGAAAAAAGAAGATGAGGTAGAGACCCGGCTATGTTTAGAGCAGGGGTCGGGAACCTATGGCTCGCGAGACAGATGTGGCTCTATTGATGGCTGCATCTTGCTCGCAGACAAATGTTCGATTATAAAAAAAAGTCGCATTAATCGTAAGAAATACTCATTATTGATTTGCAACAGCATAACAAAGTTATTAAAAGAATTTCAGAGACAAAATTATTGCATTTTTAGTGTTGAAATTACACAAAATGCACACATTTTCTTGAATTTTTACTTTTAAACATAATGTATGGCTCTCACAGAATTACTTTTCAAAATATGTGGTGTCTAAGGCTCTCACAGACAAAATGGTTCCCGACCCCTGGTCTAGAGGGAGGAAACCTGCTTAGAATGTAATAGAACCTCCCGAAAAAGCGCATCACTTCACAACTAGAAGATTGATTACAGAGTAATCATGATGGAAGATCATCCCAGTTAACCCCGGGCGTCATTTCTAGTATCATGTAGACCTAAACCTTTTGATGATTTTGTTTTATGGTACTTCTCATGTGCGCAATCCGATGCTTTGCATAGATATTCATATAACATGACGATATCGCTATTTGTTAATATTTTTTTTTCAAACCAAGCGTTTGTTGTTGCCATTGTTGTTGTAGTTTTTGTTGTCTTCCTTCAGTTTCAGGGGATGCCGGTATGACAAGTGTCAGTTCATTGGCAACATGTCGCAGGCCGACGCCGTCCTCTTTGGGGGCGGTCGCATCAGAGACCACGTGATACCCTATTTCTACCGACCCCCTGGTCAAAGGTCAGTAAAGCAGTTTGATTGTTAACAAAAAACACAAAAAAACTGTCCCATTCTTGTTTATTTCACATTGATCTACACTGATGAAATGGAGGGGAAAAAAAAAGGGAAAAGTCACGAGAATAATTTCAATGTATTCGTGATCAACCATGTCCTGTTGTTGAATGCTCACCCAAGAAGTATTTTATCCAAAAATGTTCAATATGTCTTATCAAATTAATAAAAAGCTAAAGACTCTTAACATACAAAAAAAGAAGGAGATATTTATCTACTCTATCTGAAATGAAGATAAGAAATGAAACAAACCATTAAAACAAAGTTTTCCGTAAAAAAATCCTTTATATGCATTTTTATGCGACTCAGTAATGGGTAACAGTAATTAAGAAATCTTTGTACATATTTACTTCATTTCCAAACCCCCCTCCCCCCCCACCCCCAAGGCTCACAACCGCACATTTTTTTTCACGCCCCTGAACTCTATTAATATTCCATAAATGCCACCCGCTTCCACACGGCCGATGTATTTCACCAACTTTTTCTAGATCAAAAGAAAATAGTACGCGTCAAACTCACTTGAGATACGTTTAAGAATCTCATATGGCGCAGTTATCGGGAATTTCATATTGTGAGATTAGAGGCTTCTGGTAGCTTTAAAAATGATTTTCTTGTGTGTGTGTGTGTGGGGGGGAGGGGGTTGGGATGGGGGGCTAAGAATGTTTTGTCCTCTGCAACGAGCCTATGTGCCAAGTGTCAGCTCGATAGGATGACGGGAGGTGGGCCAAAGAGTTTGCCACAGATCCAGAAAGAAACAAACCTTCTAAGAAAAGCGAGGCTAATGTAAAGGATTTTAAAAAAATATAAAAATAACTTGAAAAATCTGAAAGATTTTATAGCGTTGAGATAGAAATGCCGGGAACATATCTTTATTCACGATAAGTGCAAAACATAAATATGCAGATCAGTGGGAACACACTCTTCTATGTATCAATGGTAAATGATCCCCCTTTGAATGCTATCTCACGGTAATGGCACCGCCGAACATTTGTTTGTTCTCGTTAATGTTATCCTATTTCTTCCAGTTACACTCTTGTGTTTCCTTTCATCTTTCTTGCTGATTAATTTTTTTTTTAAATTCAAAACTCGTACACTAAATGAAGAGTCTGTGTTTAAATGAGTTTTAATGTGTTTAACTATGTTTTTTTTATCAATGTGTTCAACACATGGCTAAGAACGATATCGTTTTTATTTTACGATGTCAATCTTGTTATTGTGTTATATGTTAACACATTTTATAAAGAAAACAAGAAACATTATCCATAGAACGTATTGAAAACAAAACAACAACAAGAAACTCAAGCGGTAAGTAGGCACCCGAGTAAAAGAAAATCTTGAAACAAAATATATTTTGAATTTTTTAAAATGAATAACAGCCGGCTTTTTTTATACAAATATTTCTATTCATTTTGGTAACAGATGGATATTTTAGTCTTTAATATCTATATATTCTTGTTACATATGGATAATTTAGACTATAATATCTTTACATTCTTGTAACAGATGGATATTTTAGACTATAATATCTATACATTTTTGTAACTGATCGATATTTTAGACTATAATATCTATACATTCTTCTTACAGATATATCTCGGACCATAATTTCTATACATTCTTGTAACAGATGGATATTTTATACATTTGACCCTGCAGCCAATAACTACGCATTAGATCGTCCAGACGCGATATCCAGCTTCAACTGGACAATGTCCCACCAGCTGGACTCTGACTACCCTTTCTTGTTTGGTCGGCTGCTTCGTCGCGACCTGCCAGTTAAAGATTACGGTAAATTTAGTGCCACATAACATCTCTGTGTTTTTCTAGATATAACATCTCTGTGTTTGTTATAGATATAATATCTTTGTGCTTGTTCTAGATATAACATCTTTGTGTTCAGTCTAGAAATAACACGTTTGTGTTCAGTCTTGATATATAATGTTTGTGTTATGTCTAGATATATCATGTTGGTGTTCAGTCTAGACTCTAGACATAGCATGTTTGTGTTCAGTCTAGATCAGATCAGATGTGTTTGTTTTGGATTTAAGATATAACATGTTTTGGTTTGGTCTGGATCCAATATGTTTGCTTTCTGATCCAGATCAAATCTACGACTCAAAGGTCAACCACACGGCCTGGTTCGTGAGCCACTGCGACACCTGGAGTAAGCGGGAGATCTACGTGAACAGAATGAAGAAGGTCATACCTGTGGACGTATTCGGGGGGTGCAGCGACCGCAGGTGCGGGGCCGTCCACTACAGAACCCACGACAGCACGCTCTGCCTGCCCATGTTGTCGAAAAGTTACAAGTAGGTCGAGCAATGCCCCGGCCCAACCTCACATTTCTAATACTTTTAGAAGACAAACTTTAACAAATAAGCGTTGATGTTGGAAATAACGAAAATAAACTCTAAAGAAGTATTTCAGTTTAGCTAAAGCGACGACCTCAATTAAAAGCAACTCTTTTAAAGGAAGTATACGTCATCAGTTTATGTATCCTGCTAGTGGTGACGTCAGAGGTCCCCCCCCCCCAATGTTCTTTTAAGTAAGGAGATGATGATGCCTGGCTTGTTAAACTCACTAACCTTCAGCATACGATTGAAGTGAATTTTTCAGACGATGAAAAACACTTTCATTTGAATTATTACAGACCATCTCTGTTGCCAACAGGAAATGATCAAGTTCAATAGCTTTGTTGTCTTGGGGTTATTTAATTATTTAACACACCATTTAACAAAACAAGTAGCAAAATGTTTCTTTATTAAAGAAACAACTCTATTACTAACACTCCAATTAGTAACCACTCCGTCTCTGCTATCCAAAACCATAACACAACTGGCAGAGTCATTTCCCTTTTCCCAAATACGTCACAAAATTCAAAGCATTTAGCAACAGCCACGCAAAGACTCTCAGCAACAAACACGCTATCCCTAAAAGAACCGAAAAAATCCTTAACACTCTCATAGCGCAAAGGTAATACATATTTGTACACTTAGATTTAAATTCAACGCTTCCGAAAGGCAATGCTCAGCGCTACGACTAATGGTATCCGATAACAGAAAATAAAAATTGAGACATCCATGACACCTCCATGTTACATACATTTTCGAAACAAGCCGCTATTTTGCTGTGTGATTAAATATTTTAATACAACACATTTACTTTTCTGAACTATAATGAAAATATTTTTCCTTAAATTTAGAAGTGGATGAAATAACTACTTTAGAGAAATTGTAAATTCTAATGCATTGTTTAGATTAAATTTTTTTCTTGTCGTTGTCCTTCAATGATATCAGGTTTTATTTAGCGTTCGAGAACTCGTTCTGCAAGGACTACCTGACGGAGAAGTTCTTCAAGCTGTTTGGTGACGTCGACGTGGTCCCCGTGGTGCGCGGCGGGTTCAACTACAAGAAATACCTTCCCTCGGGGATATTCGTGGACGCGGGGGACTTTAAGGTAATAAACAATTCACGTGACAGAGTGACCCACGGGCCAAATACCTCAGTACTCCACAGGCCAAATACCTCAATACTCCACAGGCCAAATACATCAGTACTCCACAGGCCAAATACTTCAGTGCTCCACAGGCCAAATACCTCAGTACTCCACTTGCCAAATACCTCAGTACTCCACAGGCCAAATACCTCAGTACTCCACAGGCCAAATACTTCAGTACTCCACAGGCCAAATACCTCAGTACTCCACAGGCCAAATACCTCAGTACTCCACACGCCAAATACCTCAGTACTCCAGAGGCCAAATACCTCAGTGCTCCACAGGTCAAATACCTAAGTACTCCACAGGCCAAATACCTCAATACTCCACAGGCCAAATACCTCAGTACTCCACTTGCCGAATGCCTCGTACAGTACTAAACTTGTTATTGTAGGCATCCTTGTTTATTTTACTTATATAAGACAAGTTATAACGTGCCTAACAATGGCGGCAACGATGAGCACATGAGCTAAAGTTATTGAAAAAACATGCATTCAAGTAATGCATTTTATGAGAATCCCAATTAGTTCTACACCCCCCACAATTTCTTTTTACGCCCATGAACTAAAAGTATATTTTAATGTCCCACCACCTTTTAAACCGCTGATTTATTACATACTATTTCAAATTAGACTATTTACGCAAAACAAAGTAAAGTATAACATTTCAAAATCATTTGTGATATTTTTTTTATATCGGCAATTTTAAATACACACAATGGCACAAAAAAGTCATTTATACCTAGAGAATTATTTATGTACTACGGCATCACCGGGTGCAGCAGTTGTTGTTTTTTTAACACTGGGTGCGATATCTTTGAGAATAAGGTCTACAGACAGTCCTACACCCTACATGCCAGCCTTAAAACAATAGAACTACCTACAGTCCTACACCCTATCTGATGGCCTCTAAACAAGAAGCCGACAGACTGTCCTACACCCTACCTGCCGTTAAACAATATATCTTAAAAAAGCTCTATGTCAACCTGCCAGCCTTTAACACAATAGGTCTTAAGACAGCTCTATATCGACCTGCCAACCTTTAAACAAAAAGCCGACAGACAGTCCGAAGGACAGTCCTACAGACAGTCCTAAAGACAGTTCTAAAGACAGTCCTACAGACAGTCCAACACCTCCTTACCAGCTTTTCCCTTGGCTATTTATTTATTTATATAATAGTCGCTCACCCTTTTAAAGAACACGCCAGATGCAACACTTATATATACTAGTTATAGCCCGCCAAACACTGGCGACAGCAATGCGTGAACTTCCCATCTATTTAAGTTACTTGACAAAACATGAACTCAAGTAACGCACATTTAAGAATCCATATTTTTGCTGCATCCCTTCCCCCCATGATACGTCACTGCACACTTTTTATTTTACGCTCATGAACAATATGAATATTCTGATGTCACTACCGCTTTTAAACCAAATATTCATTACACGATATTCAAATTGAGACGATTTCATTTTCCGAAAAGAAAATATTGCGCACCAAACGAAGTTGCGCTATTTAAAAAAAAAATTATATAGCGTAGTTATCGGGAATTATATTTTGCGCGCTATCCTGTATCGGAAGCAGGCACACCACAAGCAAAATACATAAGAGATAAGAGACGAGAGAATATATACAGTGAAGAAGTTAATCAGTGTGAAACACTTGTCAGTGTGATGCACATTTAATACACAGACAATAAAAAACACGAAACTAATCGAAAGCAAATAATCATAATATATGTTAATAAAATGGCGAAGAAAAAAATTTGATTTTTCAAAAGTTGACAAACCCGTCTTTAAAAAAAGAAAAAAAGAAAAAAAAGAAACGAAATTAAAATGTACAAATCATAATTTAAAAAAACAAAACAAACCCACATTTTAATGAACTTAGCTGATGGAAGTGATAGCAGACGGGAAACCAGGTCTGGCCTTAGGTACAGGCAAAACAGGCTACGACCTGGAGGGCCCAATTCTAGGGGCGTCATTTTGATCACTATCCAAAGATGTGAAGGATGTCTTCACGAAAACACAAACGAAGAACATTAAGATGTTTGAGAAAAGATTCTGTGATGTTTATGTTTGTACAAACGACGCAGCTCAAGGGCAATACAAGCTGTTCTAATGAACGACTTGGCCATCTCAATTGTAGCTGCAAACATTAACGGCTCCATTCGATTACGCATTTAAGCGGAGCAGTTCGTGGTTGACTGAACGAACTACTTTGAATTAAAAGACCAATGAAGGAGGGTGTCGTCATATCAGTAGTTATGACACAGTGGGATACAACGGTATTTAATAGAGTTTTCATTGTTGACAGATGTCAGTCAAATAGAATGGTAACAGAATTAATGATTAACAAATTGGTTCCTCACCCCCCCCCCCCTCCTTAACAATAATGCACCAATTTTAATCTTAGAGTTATTCTGAACACAAGAAAAGATATTGATTGATTTATTATTATTTGTATCTTCTGGGGGAAACAAAATATTTTTTTTTCATTCGTTGAGGTTATTATGCGAATTAATGCAAATGCGGTTGAGTTGGGGGGGGGGGGGCGTAAAAAATTGGTGGGTTGGTGACTGGGGTGGGTAGGAATAAGACATTTGTCACACTCAACTATTAGAGGGGGTTATTGCTAAATTATGGTGTACATTTAATCTAACTGTTAGTTTTACACAAGAAAAGATATTGATTGATTTATTATTATTTGTATCTTCTGGGGGAAACAAAATATTTTTTTTTCATTCGTTGAGGTTATTATGCGAATTAATGCAAATGCGGTTGAGTTGGGGGGGGGGTGCGTAAAAAATTGGTGGGTTGGTGACTGGGGTGGGTAGGAATAAGACATTTGTCACACTCAACTATTAGAGGGGGTTATTGCTAAATTATTGTGTACATTTAATCTAACTGTTAGTTTTGCTAATCGGTTTTCACTTTAATTTGATTATTGTTAAAAATGAATATTTAAAAGAAATTATACAACCTGGGTTAGAGATTAACGCCCTATCAAAATTACCAATAAATAAATAAATATATATAAGAATGAGCTAGGTTCACACAACGCCAAAAGAGAGATACATTTTAAGAACGTTCGGATTCCTAAAAACAATCATACGTATTTTCCATTATTTTACGGAAATCGAATAAATTTAAATGTGCAAAAAAAATTTTAAATCCGCTTTTATTTTAGTAAAAGTTTAAATAGTATTATTATAAATTACAAATACATTTAAAGTGTCAACTAAGGAACTATTTTAAGCATTTATATGTGTTTGAAAGTTATGAAAAAATAAAAAAAATTAAAAAATCATGCTTGAGGAATTACACCGTAATCACATTTATCGGGAAAACCCAGACATTAGTAGTTTTTAGTGCGTCTTTTAGTGCGTTATTAGTATTGCGAAATAAAATTCAAATTAATTTATTCTCAATCATCACGCCAATGACGTCATAGCGTGAATAGCCTATTTTGCCAAAAACTCTTAGGTTTCTTTAAATTTAATAACCGTGCTTGACAAAACTGATAATGTATTTTCCCTTTTAAAAGTAAAGTTAATAAATACAATTGATTGCTTTTGGAATTGTTAATAAAACACACACACATTTTAGCTTTGAATATTTTAACATTTAAAAAGTCTTGCCTTTTTTATTGCAAAAATATACTATTATTAAAATTATAACGTAATAAATTCTAACCTTTAAATTTAATTCTAATAAGAAAGTGCAGTTTAAGCCAATCAGTGCAGCGCACTTCCATAGCCAAATATCATTCACTAATCCACTTATAACCCATACATGTAAGAACGAACCATATGAAGTGCAAAATATGTTGGTTTGGGTATGGAAAGGACTACAATCCGATGGAAGATTTTCTAAATTTATTTAAATCTGGATTGGGGACGGGTTGTTCACTTTGCCCCAGGCAGCACAAGATACGTCTCAAAATAACAGAATGAATTGGATAAATAATTAACCCTCTTTGGTATATACATATCGGAGGTAGGATATAGGATGTGTAGATTTTTACGAGGATGACAATATATTTAAATCCTATGGTATTACATTTGTGGAAAAAGGTATGCCACTTTCTCTTTTTACAAATATTTATATGTTTATTTTGCTCAAGGCTTCACAAGATAGGTTTCAAAATAAAGGAATGAATTTGATTAATAATTAACTTTCTTGGGTACATTCATATTTAAGGTAGGTAATGGGATGTGAATATTTTCACGTGCATGACAGTATAGTTAACTCTTACGTTATTACATTTGTGAAAAAAGTGATGCAACATTCTCTTTTTACAAATATTTCTTAATATGTAAATGTTCATTTTGCTCAAGGCAGCACAAGATACGTCTCAAAATAAAGGAGTGAATTTGATAAATTATTAACCTTCTTGGGTACATTCATATCGGAGGTAGGCAATAGGATGTGTATATTTTCACGTGGATGACAATATATTTAAATCATATGGTATTACATTTGTGAAAAAGAAATGTTGCATTCTCTTTTTACAAATATGTAAAATTTCAATTTGCCCAAGACAGCACAAGATACGTCTCAAAATAAAGGAATGAATTTGATAAAAAATTAACCTTCTAGGGTAAATACATGTCAAAGGTAGGAAATAAGATGTCTACATGTTTACGTGGATTACAATATAGTTAGCTCCTATGGGATTTTATTTATGAAAAAAAGATGTTAGCTTCTCTGTTTACACAATGGGTAAGTTCATTTTGCCCAAGGCCATACTAGAATAAATAACCCGATGTTATCGGTATAATAATGGTAGGTCTTTGCGATAATTTCTAACTACTGTTGTAAAAAATCATCACAACCCATAACTTTAAAAATATAATGATTTTTACTTTTCTATCATCATTAAATTTTGAGAGGTGTTTATCTGCTATATATTATAAGCCTACCCTACACCCTTTCACGCTCCTAAACTATATTTTTCCCTTCTAATCATGACCTTAAATTACCCAGTCTAAATAATCACTAATTATATAACATTTGTCACTAAAGAAGTACATTGATGGACAATTACTACGCTAGAGAAATACTTTAGATTGACCCCCTTTCGTGCCCTTGAATTAAAAATGTTTTTTTTTCTAAAAACAAGATACGTCTCAAAACAAAGGAATGAGATTGATAAATAATTAATTTTCTTGGGTAAAAACATGTCGGAGGTAGGAGATAAAATGTGTAGCGTTTTAGGTGGATGACAACATCGTTAACTCCTATGGTATTCCCTTTAAAAAAAAAGAAAGAGATGTTACATTCTCTGTTTACAAATATGGGTAATCTCATTTTGCCCATGGCAATACAAGATACGCCTCAAAATAAGGGAATGAATTTGACCAATAATTAACATCCTTGGGTACATTCATACCGGTGGTAGGAAAAAGGATGTGTACGTTTTTACGTGGATGACAATATATTTAAATCCTATGGTATTACATTTGTGAAAAAATAGATTTTTAATTCTCTCTTTACAAATAAACAAATGTTTACCAATTAAGAAAGTCAATGGCGTTATATTTATATAAGCATGCCCTTAAATTTCAAAACCCAATTATTTTACACACTTGAAAAATTAATTTTGAAAAATTGAGATGGGTTAATATTTACTTTCAAAAGTGAAAATACAATTTTGTTGTTACTTTGCAAAAAGTAAAGAAGTGTGTATTTTTATGAGATGAAACATTTAAATTTTTTAAAAATATACTCAAGTCTGTTTAAGGCGTGAAAAATGGTTGCGAGATTCTTCTTTAGATAAAATAATTCTTTGTTTTGCGAGTCTCTGATAATGTATAATTTGTTTTTAAAGGCATAAATATGTTTAAATTTTGGATGAAGATATCAATATGTATTGAATCCCGTCATATAAAATATACTTATATCATATGTATAGTTTTTGATGTAAATTTAAGATTAGATTTTTAAAACATTGTTTAGAGAAAAAAAGTGGTAATTCAAGGGCACGAAAAGGGGTAAATCTAAAGTATTTCTCTATGGTAGTAATTGTCCCTCAATTAACTCCTTTAGTGACAAAAGTGGTATAAGTAGTGCTAAGTTAGACTGGGTATTTTGAGGTCATGTTTAGAGGGGAAAAAAGTAGTTTAGGAGCGTGAACCGGAGTAAGGTAGGCTTATATTATATAGCAGATAAATACTTCTCAAAACTTCATGATGTTAGAAATGTAAATAGCATTATATGTTTAAAGTTATGAATTGTGATAAGTTTTTGCAACAGCACTTAGAAATTTACGCAAAGGACCTATCATTATTATCCCGATAATAGCGGGTCATTTATTCTAGTATTTAAAATAAAATGCGAAGGTGTTCGAAGGCCGCTTGTTTAGTTTTGTCATCTTTGTGATTTTCCGCATCCCCTGTCCGTTAACATAAATTGTTTCATATCGTTTCAACCTGAACTCAGCCTTCCCCATTATTATTACACCGGATTTCTAAAGGGAAAAAATGACTAAGCCATCTCAAGGGGCCTGAGCATACAAGTATGCAATGGTTGCTGATCTCAGTCGGCGGGCCTGCTCTTCGATGGAGTTTGTATCGTGGGAATTGAGTCTGGAAACACGTCCAGCTTCCGTTTCCGTTATTCTAGCTGGCTTCCATCACTTGACTCCACGGAGGAATACACTCAAGGCTTTAAAAAGAAAATTGTTGCATTGGTGTGTATACTTAAACTCCACATGGGTGTCATCAGCTCCACATGGGTGTCATCAGCTTCATGCCGGTGTCATCAGCTCCATGCGGGTGTCATATGTCA